TGTAAGCACAAAAACTTGAATTCCATCATCAACACCCACATAAAAAAAAAAAAAAAAAAAAAAAAAAAAAGCTAAGTATGATGCTACTCACTTGTTGGCCCAGTGCTGGGGAGGTGAGGTAGCCAGATCTCTGGGTCCCACTGGCCATCCAGCAAAACCTAAACAGCCAGGACCTGGCCAGTAAAAGCCTATCTCTAAAGATAGTGAACAGCTCCTGAGGAACAACACCCAAGGCTGTACTCTGGCCTTCCCATGCACATGCATCATATAACACACACACACACACACACACACACACACACACACACACACACACACGTACTTGCACATACATGCATACACATACATACACACGTACACACACAAATATGATAAGAGATATTACTGATGAACTTTGTCCAAGAAAGAAAATTTGAGTAGTCATACTAAGACAGATTGGGTGCCAAGATAGAGGCCAAAAAGGAAAAGGAAGACTTCTTGTAGATTTTAAGGTCACTGAGGATAACTTCAGAGAACAGAAGAAATGTGAAATTGTGTTTTGAGAATTTGGAAGTAGATTTGGAGTAACAGAGACAAAACGACACAAAAGTAGAGAAACCATAAGCAAAAGAGTTCAAGAACTGATCATATATATATTTTGTAGCTAGAGTTTTTTCTCTTTAGGTCCCACCAAGCCCCAGCAGTCCGACGGCCCACTTATAAAATAAACACACAGAGGCTTATATTATTTAAACTGTTTGGCCTAATGGCTCAGGCTCCTTGCTAACTATTTTTATATCTTAAATTAACCAATTTCTATTAATGTATAAGTTGCCACATGGCTTGTGGCTTACCGGTATCTTTACATGTTGCTTGTCATGGCAGCGGCTGGTGGCGTCTCTCTGCCTCAGCCTTCCATTTCCCAGAATTATCTTCTCTGCTTGTCCTGCCTATACTTCCTCCCTGGCTACTGGCCAATCAGCATTTTATCTACACAGAGTGATATCCACAGCATATATACACATATATATATATGTGTGTGTGTGTGTGTGTGTGTGTGTGTATATATATATATATATATATATATATATATATATATATATATATATATACATATAAAACCCTGGCAACAGTGAGCTCAGAAGGGGCATAAACAGTGGCTATATGAGAATATGATGATGCTTGGCCAAAGCCACAAGTTATTGAAGACACAAAAGAAGACAGAAGATACACCGATAGGTTGAGAAAGAGGAGAAATACTTACAGTGTGCTTATGTTATGGTGCTCTGCACAGCTAAAAAACTACGTATAGAATTAATTGAACCTAAGCTGTTTTTTCTCTTAAACTCATCCACTACTCCTCTCTTTACTCAGAACGTTCCAGCTATTCTGGAATATTCTATATTTTTAACTGATGTCAGGTCTTTGCTCTTCTTGGGACCTGTAAGGCTATCTGGCAGTTTCAGCAACACAGTTCAGCCACAAGAAGGATGCTTGACCACTGCACCTAAGGGACCATTTCCTAGCCCACTTCCAGTGGTATTACCTTACTTTATTTTTTTGAATTATACTTTTCATTATAGTAAGTAGGCATTTTCCCCTGCTTCCAGGAGAGTAAAGTAGCCAAGATATTTGTTTGTTTGTTTTTGTTTTGTTTTAATTTTGTAATTAATTTAATTTTACATATCAGCCACAGATTCCTGTGTCCTCCCTCTTCCTGGCCCCCCTCACCTTCCCCCCAATCCACCCCCCATTCCCACCTCCTCCAAGGCAAGTTCTCCCCTGGGGATTCAGCTCAGCCTGGTGGATTCAGTCGAGGCAGGTCCAGTCCCCTCCTCCTTTCACCCAGGCTGAGCAAAGTGTCCCACCATAGGCCCCAGGTTCCAAAAAGCCAGCTCATGCATTAAGGACAGGTCCTGGTCCTACTGCCTGGGGCCCTCCTAAATAGTTCAAGCTAATCGACTATCTCACTTATCCAGAGGGCCTGATCCAGTTCAATGGGGACTCCCCTCAGCTATTGGTTCATAGTTTATGTGTTTCCACTAGTTTGGCTATTTGTCCCTGTGCTTTTTCCAATCATGGTCTCAACATCTCTTGCTCATACAATCCCTCCTCTCTCTCGATGATTGGACTCCCGGGGCTCCACCTAGGGCCTGGCCATGGATCTCTGCATCGCCTTCCACCAGTCACTGGATGAGAGTTCTATCACGACAGTTAGGGTGTTCGGCCATCCAAACACCAGAGTAGGTCAGTTCGGGCTTTCTCTGGACCATTGCCAGTAGTCTATTGTGGGGGTATCTTTGTGGATTTCTGGGGACCTCTCTAGTACTTTGCTTCTTCCTATTCCCATGGGGTCTTCATTTATCATGGTCTCTCTTTTCTTGTTTGTTTTGTTTTTAATTTTCAGAGTCTCTGGGTGAGCCAGTCGCTGAGAACACTGCCCTCTGTGAACTCGCGTCTGCCATGAGGCCATCCCTGCTGCTTCCAGGTTACCCGCTCATTAGCCTTCTGCCTTTCAGACTGTGCTGTCCTCTCCTCAGGCTCATTTCCCAGGAAGCCCTTTAGGTTCCCTACCACACAACAAATGCCCAGAACCACAAGCTGCTCCCAGGCCCAATGGAGATGGTTGAGTCTCCCTAACTAGACTGTTGCTTTCCTAAAATTAGACTTCTGTAGGGGTGCGTGCCTAGAACATGGGTGAAAATCCCTTCTTAACTAACACACAGACCCACCTGACCTGGCTGAGAAGTAAGGGTCAGGAGAAGAGGTTCAGGTTTAGAAATTAATATAATATGTGAGAATTAGGTCAGTGTTTGAACTTTGTGATTCTAAACTCTCATTAAGTATTGTAGTATCTTAAAGCACGGCTTGGGTCCCATTTCAGAATATTTGGCCATCTGGTGAAAGCATTGTGACTGCCTCAAAGATCTCTAGGAGATGCCGATGCGCAGAAGGGCTGGGGAACCCTGTAAGGTGACCAGAACAACACTTTCGTAATGAAAGTGAGCAGTAACAGCATCACAGCTTGGGAACTCACACTAGCTGGGGACTATTCAGCTGAGTTACATCCCCCAGCCCGGGTAGCAAATGCAGATTTCTCCCCTGACATCAAAGGGAGATTCTACATATTGAGAAACCATTTGCCAAAAGCAAAAACACCATATTTCTGCAGTGACTAAGATTTCCCCGGTGACTCATGAGCTTCAGATTGCCAATCCTGAAGCAGACGACCAAGAAAAATAACAGGGAAGGGCCTAGAACCTGCCTGCCCTTGCAATACAGCCACAGTACTTGTTTCAACCATACTCCACACTGAGCTCCGTATTGTTGCCTATGAGATTCATTAGTGGTATTTGTATATGGGTATACTTTAGATTTCATAAAAAATGTCATATTAATATATGTTATTTCCCAGTCCTATTCCTTTTGCAGAGAACTAAATAAATCTTTTAAAAAAATTTTCCAACAGAAAAGTAAAAAGAAAACTCCAATTTATTATTTTGTCCTTGAGATAGCTGAAAAATTGAACAATTGTGTCACTTTGGGGACTATTCTCATTTCTACTTGGAAGGAGTTAAACATGCCTGGCCTAGCCTGTACTTGCCTTGACTCAACTGCTTGACAGATCAACACCAAACTGACAATTACACTGCTTGGGTCTCTGATAGACACTTAAAAACCACAGGCTACTCACAGCACTGTTTGAGGGACCATCTACATATACATGGAATTGGAGGGCCAAAATGCATGATCTTTACCTGCATTTGAATGAAATTGGGGTTATCTCCATGCAAATAAGGGTCTAATTAACACCCTCCTTGAGACAGAGTTCTGTCTTTCAGGACGGTAGTGAACTACTCACACCCACCAGAGTTGTCTGGTATTCCACTCTTTGAAACTAGTTTTCTGAATCCTACATGAGCTGAATCATAACTCTGGAGTGGCTGTCCTAGAAACTTGACTATAAACAAATTTTTCTTGCTGACACTTAGATAATTTACCAGAGTGGAATCTTAGTACATTGTATGTTTTGGATCCTCCTCCTATATGTGTGACCTCTTCATGAGATCAAAATCACTGAGCAAGACCATCCCAGAATGGTGAGATGACAAACTGTGCATTTAGTCAAGAAACACACACACCTACACACACACACACACACACACACCCTCAAACACCCATGCTCACACAGTCACGTTCATGCTCACACATGCACATTTGAAGTAGGTACCAAACAACTACCTTTCACACTCGAAGATCAGAATCAAAGAAGTTCTCCTGAGCTTAGAGAATGGAATGCAGATTAGCAAGCTAATTGTGTCAGAGAGGGAGTAAGTCATGAATAATAATAATAATAATAATAATAATAATAGTAATAACATCACTGTATCTCTGCTACTCTTGTTCAAACATCACCCTTTGAAACATTACAAATGTATTTGATTCTGGTAAGTGACTTTCAATGTGGGAAAATGTCATGTCTATCAGCTATGAAAAGGAATTAATCAAAATACCAAAGCCGTACTGCCTGTCACCTCTTGTGTATGTGATAATCTGTATTAATAATTACCAGAGGTGAACTACCTTTCACATAACAAGCTTAAAGGAGTTACGTTGTTCATGGGTTCCATAGAAAAGCCTGCCAATTTTTGTACCTTTAGAAAATCCAGTTAGGTACAGCTTTCTCTTGCTCTCCCTCCAGTGATAACTAAGACACAATATAGCTGCAACTCCATTTTTCAAGGTTTGGATGACCTCTGCAATTAGGATGTCAGAAAATATATATCCCATCATGCTCAACTTAGGTCTAGCTAACACCTTAGTATTTCAAGCTAACTTGTGCTGAAATATTAAAAAATACTGAACATCCCAGCACAAAGGCACTTCCTGACTTAATACTCACAAGGAAAATTAAAAGGAATTGAAAAGAAGACATAATGACAAGACTAGAAAATTATATGTGAAAAATAGGAGCAATTTTTTAGCCCCTCTGGATTCCTATGTTCAGAAATATGACATACCTCAGAATATAGGATTCCCATGCCGGTCCTTCCTGGGTTTGCTCCCCCTCTACTGTGCAGTAGTGAATCTTCTGGAGGCGTTTTTTAATTAACATTAAATTTCTTCCCGGAAAGAAATGTCCCTTGAAGTCCAAGTCCAAGGCGGTGGCGAGTCCTCTCTTTCCACACCTGGGAGTGCTTTCCCAGCAGTCTGACAGCAACACACCTTGTAGAGAGACTGGCTGAGGGAGCCAAGGCATTGGCTTACCAGCTAATGATCCCAGAGCTGTATCATTGTTACAGCCGGGGGAACCGGTTTCTGAGTCATGTGCACTCTGCCAGTGGAGGCGTCCAATGAAGAAGGAAGCAAAGGTGGGGTGCTGGGTGGAGGAACTTCTCAGACTAGCAGGAAAAGTTCAAAATAGGACGCTGTGTTTAGGAAATTTCTTAATTGAAATCCTAGCATTCGGTGGCCATTATAGTTAGCATACTCATTAGTGAGAGTCATGGGGTCTAGTTGGACAAATAATCCTCAAAATACTCAAAACTAATTGCTAGCAAGTAATACCTTTTCCCAGCCATGTAAAGAGTCCTATCTATCAGCTAATAAATTAAACTTAACCTATTAATGTTTAATTTCAATTGACATGTGCTAATTACATACATTTACATGCAGTACCGTGTGATAATAAGAGTAATTAGCGTTTCCACATGTTTCAGTATAATTCCTGTGCATTGAGAACCTTCAAAGTCCTCTCTCCTACTTCTTTCTAAGAATAAAATGCACAGTAAGTCACTCTGAGGTGCTGTGGAACACTAAGCCTGACTCCCTCTCAAACTCTATTATGATACCTGCTACTCAGCCTCCTCCATCTCCACCAACACCTTCCTGGACTGCAGTGGTTACTCACTGTCCTACTCTCTTATTATGGCGCTGTGGAGACCAGCCAGCACCCTGCTCTAAGTTCTTCTGTGTTGGGTAAAACTGCCTTGCCCAAGAGAGACTTCATTTTCCAGGCAACATTTGACTCCACTGTGAGAACAGTGAATGACTGTTCATCTTGCTGGACACATAAGCAACACCATTTGTCCAGCACCACCTGACAGGTGCAGATTGACTGCTAAGTAGTTGATTCCTGAAAGGAGGAAGGATGTAGTCCTATACAGTGGTCATTGTGAACTGGGACTACACAAGCCCATGGGCACATTGAGATCACGAAGATGAGACTGAGGACTTAGCAGATGCTCCAAACTGAGGAATGGAAGCATTCCTGTCACCTGGACTGATGGTGATGCCTCCCAGATCATTCATCTGACCTCCTACCATGTTCATCAAGAGACCAACAGAAGAGAACTCATGATTGTCCCGAGATTCCAGCTCAGCTTAGTCCCTATCCTTGATGAAGCCAACCTCAAGTTTCTATCCATCCATTTCCTGGTCCTCCCTTTCCCTGTCCAGTAGCTGTGGTCTAGGTCACATGTCTCATGTCTGAAGTTACCCTCTGACCCTGCAGCCTGTGTCTACCACCACTGCAGCAGCAGGGGCTCCAGCAGACTGACTGCTTCTTTATTCCTGCATAGACTCTCTGATAGCAGTGATATATGTGTGGCATATAATGTGTGATCTGAGAGTGACTATTAGTAATTAAGATTGGAGCAAAAGAATCCGTGCTTGTCTCATGGAAAAGGGGACGTTTTGGCAAATTGCTGCCAATAAAACGGATCTGTCTTGTGAATTTGTTGTTATTAATGGAGGATGACAATGTAGAAAGACACAAATGTGTTCATCTATGTTTCTGACATAACAGGCTTATGACACATAAAAAATTCTAAATTGTTTTAAATGTCTCAGTATTGTTTCTAAAATCAGTTGTTGAATTATACATCTAAAAATTGGCTCATCTAAAAATTGACTCATCAATTTATTTTGTCAAACATGCTAATATGCTAAATCCCTTAAATATTGCAAACATTTTATGTGCTCTGTATAATAACAATTATTCACATTTTCTCTTAAAAGTACTGCTTTCGGTGGCTCCTTGATCTAGGGGTATGATTCTCGCTTAGAGTGTGAGAGGTCCCAGTTTCACATCCTGGATGAGCCCAAATTTATAGCCCATACGACAATAAATTGTAACTCAGAAATATAGACCTCTGGGAACACTAAAAAAAAAAAAGTACTGCTTTAGACTTCTCCAGAGTTAAACATCCCTTTCCACACTTTTGCACATACCTATGCAAAAGAGAGTGTTGTTGGTTGTTTTTACTCTTTTAGGGGGCCTGCCACCCAGCTCCCAAATAAAACACACATGGAGGCTTATTCTTAATTATAAATGCCCAGCCTTAGGTTGGCTTGTTTCTTGCCAGCTTTTCTTAAATTACCCCATCTATCTTTTGCCTCTGGGCTTTTTTCTTTCTCTATTTCTGTATTCCTTTCTGTACTTCTTACTCCATGGCTTGCTGTGTAACTGGGTGGCTGGCCCCTTGAGTCTTCTCCTTTTCTTGCTCCTAGATCTTTCTTCTTTTTTTCTCCTAGATTTCTCCTTCTGTTTATTCTCTCTGCCAGCTAGCCCTGCTTATCCTTTCTCCTGCCTCGCTATTGACCATTCAGCTCTTTATTAGACCATCAGGTGTTTTAGACAGGCAAACTAACACAGCTTCACAGAGTTAAACAAATGCAACGTAAAAGAGTATAGCACATCTTTGCATCACTAAACAAATCTTCCACAGCATCAACAAATGTAGCATATCTTAAAATAATATCCAACACAGTGCAACCATCTCAAGCTGGTTGATATGGTTCATGCATGCTAGGCAAGCACTCGACCACTGAGCTATGTTCTTAGTCCTCTTGAGTTATTTTAATGATTGTCTTAAGAAGAATTACATACCTCTATTCTGAGGTTGCCATTGCCAGCCTCCCAAGAGTTTAAGAATTAGTTAATTCTTCTCTTAAAGGAAACAGATGCCTGTAATACCCACCGAAATTGCAGTTGATGTCCTCTTTAGTGTGGTTTGATTTTGTATTTCTTCTGTTTCCTAATACACTTAGGCATCTGCACTCACCCTTTCTCTACCAGAAGTCATTCTTAAGCAAAACTTTTGTGACCCTGTAAGGACCCATTTGTCACATCTTTGTCGCTCTCCTTTGTTTTCTGATACATTTAAACATCTTACCATTGGCTCAGAAAAATAAAAAACATTCACCCTGTCTCCACTGGGAAATTCATTCTCTGAAGCAAATCTTTTGTAGCCCTGTAATAACCCTTGTAGATTCTTTCAACTGATTTGTGAAGAAAGAACTTTTCATTTACCTGCCCCCACCATAGCCAAGGTTGCTGCTCACTTTTCATCCAAGCCTTCCTCCCTGACTGAACAGTAAAGGCTTATTTAAGAGGTTTTCTACGAGTACCACAATTCATCTAGTCGGAGTCTCCATGCCTTGTTGATGCCATCTAGTTTTAAAGGAACCGTATACATTTTATAACTGTGAAAAAAAAAGTAACTGTTTCAATGGAGGATTAACTCTGAAACAAAACATTAAAAAGGCAGTTGATCCACACAATTTGTAAAACACAGTAACTCTAGCTCACTGGATCCCAACCAGGATACCATCAGGTATGTTGAGTTAAATTTAAGCTTCGACTTTAGGAAATCACATGGAATACTTTGTGCTAAAAGATACTGCGTTGTTTCACTGAAAACTAAAGACCTTTGGCAATGCCTGAAGATGCTTTGATGTCACACCTAAGGCCTGGGAGGTTTGCTGTAGGGCAGGTGGAGAGCAAGGACATGCCACAGCACACAAGGCAGCTCCTCACTGCAAGGTCTGTCCCATCCACAATGGTGGTCAGGTAAAACAATCCAGGTCTGAACTAACGAGTCAGTTAGAGGTGAAGGGAGAGAATTTAAACAGCGATGGTGTTAGAATACGAAATAGAAAACTGATCTCAGAATAAAGCCTGCTAAAATCATAACTATTAAAGAAGTGTGAGGGTCACTTTGCCAAACTGAGCCCATTAGCACAAAGTCGTGAGAAAAAGAAGTTCCAGAAATATTTTCTGTCAAGAAATAATGTCTGAATCAGACACTAAGGCTTTAAAGTTAGAAGCTCCCACCAGGTCCTGTCTATAGAAGAGGACGACCTTGGCTATTCCCTGTGAAGAAAGGCCGGCTCTTGTAAGCTGTGTGGTCCAGACTTCTGCCAGAAAGGTTTAGTAGATCGCTCACGACACTCTGGCTTTTCATGAGTTCTCCAGCATTGTCTGATGGCTCCGGCTGAAAGGGATTAAGTATAGGAATGTGGTAATCAAAAATGATTCATATCAGTAAAGTTTAATCTGGCTACTGTGTCAGGGTGGATGTAAGGCCACTTCTTTCTGCAATTCTCTTTCTTGTGAATGAGCTGTATTTTGTCTTTTAACTGAAAATTAAGTACAGGATAAAAGACCAAATTGTACTAATAAACACTGATTTACCTCTTTTTAAAAAGCAAACTGGGTGTGTGTGGGGGGGACCTGAGGGGCTGGAGCTATGGGTCAGTGGTTAAGTAAGAGCATTGGCTGCTCTTCCAGAGGACCTGGGTACAATTCCCAGCACCCACATGGCAGCTCACAACTGTCTGTAACTCCAGTTCCAGAGGATTGGGTACCCTCACACAGACATACATGCAGGCAAAACAGCAATGCACATAAAATAAATCAATCTTAACAAAAACACTGAGACATAATACAGTTTTAAAGACTTCATTTAAATACTGAGCCTGGTGGTACATGCAAGTAAGCCCAGGTTCTCAGGAGACTGAGACAGAAGAATAGTAAGTTCAAAGTTAGCCTCACTCAGCTACGGAGTGTATTCAGGTCATCCTGTGCAAAGTACTGAGATGTTGCCTCAAATAATAAAATAAAAATGTGGCCCAGTGGTAGAATGTTTGCTACTGGCCTAGAACACACAAGGGCTCAGATTTAATCCCAATACTACAGAAAGAAGAGGGCGGGGCCAATTATGCAAACAGTGCTTCCCAAATGAATCAGAAATGGTTCAAGGAGCCCTTGGAAGGCATTCCAGGGGAAGGTTTCCCTGTGGCACACACAGAGAGAGAAAATGGTAGCAGTCATTGGTTGTAATCATAGGGCTGCCATACTGTCTATCAAGTAAGGAAAGTCTCCAGTTATATAATGCATCTGGCCGTTTCCAACGAGGTTGGCCTTCAGTTTTTTTTTTTTTTCTTTACTGTAAGAATTTATAAGAAATATCCCAATTTAAATGTTATCTCTATTTGCAAATCATACAAAGTTATCATTACTTATGGGGCCCGCAGGCTGTTTCT